TTTAAATGACAAGACTACTGACTCATCATGTGCTGGATTTGATTTCAGTAAAATATTCTTGAGTATCATTGTTTCTTTCAGCTTACATTATATTATTGTTAAAGATAAATAAGATTTGCTCAAGATTTGATATACAAATTATTTTCTTTAAATTATTTAATAATGTGCATTTTATGACTGAAAGACAGGTATGCATGTTGTACCATGTGTGCCTGTTATTTGTCCTATGTGTGTTTCCCCCCCATAATATAATAATATAGAATATATATTTTAAAGGAATCTGTACATTTGTCTTTTCAATTTCAGTAGGCCTACATCAAAACTGTATATTCATCCTTTCTCTTTGTTACTATAGGTTATAACTTGGTTCAATTGTTGTTTTGTTGCTCATTCCTTTTATAACAATATTGAATCAGTGAATCTTCATTAACCAGACATTGTATAACCAGAAAAGTAAATTATTGATAAGATTTGAATAACCCAACAATACTGCAGTCTGTATTACTCTCGGCCGTCACTGCATCTTCCGTCATGTTATGGTGTGAAGTTAGAGGCGCCTGCCACGTAGGCTGTAATTAAAAACACAAAAGATTAACAACAAGGTAAAGAAACTTAATCTACTGTCATTCGTTTTTTTAAATATTGAAATATTACAATCATATTACAATAAATCCCATTTACAACTGAATTGAATTTGTTTTCTGCTGCATGGTGTTTACATATTTAAGCTCAACGTTTTATTTTGAATTCCACACTTGTTATTGTAGACACTTGTTAATTACAAATAATTAGCCTCCATGTTTCATTGCAAAAAGCACAACAATTAATAAGTGCAAAAAATAAGTTATAAGCAAATTACGATTTTAGAAGTTCAGCTGGAAGTAAAACGTATAGCATCTACAGATTATAGCTATACTTTTGTTGGTCTTTATAAATAAGAAGTCATTCAAATGTATTGTGGAGAGTAAAACCTACACATAATTACATATGTGTGTTGTTTTAATCCTTTTTAGATACACTGTTCCTGTTGCATCTGCTTTTCCTCATAGTGTCGGGTGGAAGTTGTTTCTTGGCCCGCTGATGTCAAAGGGAAAAACAGGGCAGACGTTTTGACATGGGCCTAGGGTGTTTTTAACCGCCACAGCTAAGTTAAATGCCCTAATTTGCATATGTCTGTGTAAGGCTATATTTATATATTAGGCTATATTTATATTTTTCAAATATGGAAATATATCTCAAATAAAGGATATTGAGCTGAATTTCGCTTTATCGCTTTTCTGCTCCGACTATATTTGACCGCATTGAAATCACAACGCACAGTTGTGACCACGTAACATTTCTTTAACATGTTCTTTGTCCTCTGTCGGCAGCTCAAAGCGGCTTGTGACCCTAGCGCGCGGCCTGTCGCCTGCCTTTCTGCGTTTCGGGGGGAAGCGGACCGACTTCCTGCAGTTCAACAACCAGAAGAACCTCGCCAAGTTCAGAGGGCCGGGGCCAGACTACTATCTGAAGAACTACGAAGACGGTGATTGCACACGACATTTCATTTCCTCTACGTGTCTCCATGTATATTTTTGTCTTTGTTTGGACGTCCCTCGACTGTCTGTCTGATGTTCCTCTCTGTATGAATAGTCAGACGCACCGAGTCCATTTTACTGCAGACATATTCATTGTCCCGCTAAATGTTACATTGTTTCAGTAGCCTATTTTAGACAGGTTCATTTCCTTCAAAAACATTATGCTGCCCTAAATTCGTGGCACCCGGCTTAAACACCGGACCTATTAATTATCTAATATTAATCCTCTTTAAATGGGGAAGACACAATATAAGACAAAACTCGAAAATTCCACACAATTGGGTTACATTTTACTGCACCTCAAAATGCAGCTTGCAAAACCATAACCAAAAATCAACTATAATAAAGTTGATTTAACACCTCTTTTAAACATATATTTTGACTTTACTAAAGTGGGAATTGTGAAAGGCTTGTGTAATAGACTGTATTCATTTTAGCTATGGCTTATTAAACGTTAACTGAGTAAGGGGCACTTTTACAACAGTTTTACAAGCGTCTATTGACATATTCATATATCCAAATGTGTCTAAAAAAACAACTTAAAAAAAACAACACAACCTTTTAGGGTTCAACAGGTGGTCCAGGTTGAACTTGCAAATACATTTTAAAACACTTTTAGTTATTTTAGTTACAAAAATGATTTAATGTTGTGATAAATACTGCTTTTTGATCAAAATAGCCACACAAGTACGACATTGTTCAGGTCATGAAATAAAAAATATGAATGTTGCGTTTATTTTTCCATTTATGCTGGCTTGCAGACATAGTGCGCAGTGACATCGCATTGGACAAACAGAAGGGCTGCAAGCTGGCCAACCACCCTGACATAATGCTGGAGCTGCAGAGAGAAAAGGCCGCCACCACACAGCTCGTCCTGCTGAAGGAGCAACTGTCCAACATCTACAGCAACATTACAATAACAGGTAGGAGATCACTCACACAAAAACACTGCTCTCCTGGGCACACACTCATATCCTGAGAAACATGTTGTGCATGTTCACATAAGTAGTCTGGACCCTGTGTGTCATGCACGTTCATGCAAATGTGTACTTGCACACACACGGGCACTCGCTCAAGGTTCAAAGCATGCCAATGTAAACCATCAGCTTTCAGAATGACAAATGTAATTTGTAAAGGAGGAATGTGGGGATGGATAGAGGAGTGCAGCAGCGGAGGCTATAAACAGAGCACTGACATTTTCAATGGTTACAGTTAACTCAGCCTGACAACAGAGAGAACTCTGGAGTCCGCATTTTGGGTGGGCTGCATTTCTTATCTGTTACTGTGATTGGCTTGGATGGAAATTAGGAACTGCAGGAGAAGGGAGTAAATGAAGGATTTGTCTGTTAAAATCACTACAGTTTTTAGATTCATGGTAGTGAGTGCGTGCATAAAAGGAGTCAGTGTCAGAAATGATCAGTCAACTTTATGTGGTTTGAAAGAGCTGGAAACACAAAGTTATTAACTTAGTTGGCTTATTTAGGATATAGAACCAATAAAAGACTGACCTTAAAATGTAAGGAAATAAAGGAAGTAAAAAAAAATCTTAACCCTGAATAATACAAAACTGAACAGCATTATAAAACAAAATTCTCCACATATCCAAATGTTAACTGCTCTGTTGCATCTTTATACAAAAACACTGACTCTTAAACTCTTTTGGCATCTTAAAATGATAGTGGGTCACAAGTTGTTTTTGTGGGCTTGGTTTTTGTTCCAAAAAAAAAAAAAGATCACAACCCCATGTTCACTTTAGATCCAGATAAATACTTGGCCATGTGTTTTGAAAAGACATTGATGAATGACATAATACAAAGAATCCAAATCTACCTCAAGTGAACCCAGTTGGACGTGTCACTAATTCATTCGGTCATAAGGCACACAGAACTGGAGCTCTCGCATGAGTGGCTTCCCCATGTTTTCAGAAGGTCTCGCTTCCCTGAAGTGGCCGCCCTGTGAGTTTCCAATATTAGTGATAGATGTGGAACAACATGACTTCGTACATCATCTTCGTCTTGCAGATGCTCTCAAGTGCATCAGTCAAAACATGGCCTCGTTGCATTCATCATATGAGACTGCTCATGTGAGGGCTGAGTTCACAAGTTCATATCAGGAGTCTTGTAGTATAGCACCCTATTGTATAATTTGTATAACACTTAAGGATGTTCTTTAGGCCTGGCATCTTCACTTCGCTTGTAATACATAGAAACAACAATTTGGTGTATTTTGGTGTCAAATAGCTTAAAACTAATAAAACCATGGGCGAGACAAATAACCCCTGTCTACATGTGGTGTAGCGCTAATGTTTCTAAAAATTAAAACCACATTTCCCATAAACCCTGCTGCTTCCTGTCCCAAGGAGGATGTTACCGTTGGTTACTTTCCTCTGCTGCAGCGTGAAGGCCCACAGTCTTCTCAGTGATAGTTAAGTACGGACAGTTAAGAACAAACGTGGAAATTATTTACTGAAGGTTAAGTTAGCATACTGAAACTGCTAAATTATTTCACAGGTGGAAATAGGATTAAATAAAGTGAAAAAATATTGATGTAATAATAGATCACCACTGAATGTTATCTTCCCAATTCACTATTTGAACTATTTCACTGATTGATTCGGGCCCTATGGAGGATTTGGTCTTTTGAAATGTGAAACTGGTGTGATGGTTCCCATTAAGAGTAGAAGTGTATAAGAGACAGAGAGCGGTGCCTTGCTGTTTTTGAGCAGGTGCCATAGTTGTTACAGACTGGTTGGCTGGGAGGGGAAGGGGGGGGGAGCCAAGCAGAAGGACATTATTTACTTAAAGCTGATTTACTGCGTAGTTTTCCCACAGAAGCGCATATTCTTTCAAGCACAGACACTAACTGCAGGTTTCTCCCCTGGGAAATGTTTTAGTCTGAAGGATAGATTGTTTGTGAAGGTGGAGCAGCTGTTTTCTTCTTGTAGTACAAAAAGAGGCCTGGATGGAATCTAAAATAAATGGACTGTTGAAGTTACTCACCAGAAAAGGCACTGGCAATGCAGAAGAAGTCACGGGTGTGAACATGTTTGTGCTAGGGTCTCATTAGTACACTCATTTGAACTCTCCAAGCATGTTGTGTAAACTCAAAACTGTGCGCTCACATCTCAGTGGTGGAGGGTAACAGGGGTACGGAGGCACCAGAGATGTGTTTACATATGGTCTGGTAACAATCAGTGTGTGTGTGTGAGTGTGTGTGAGAGTGAGAAGGGTAGTAGGTGTTTAAAGGACATTATAATAGTCTCGCTCCATCCTTTTCCACTCACCACTGTCTGACCTTTAACCTAGGCTTGTTAGAGCTATCAATAATGGGGCCGCTCCGAGACAACACACACTGACACACATACACATGCACACACACATTCAGCTGGGATTCAAGTTGAGTAAAATTCCCAAAGCTCAGACAAGTTCATGGTCAGGGTGATCTCATGTCTCCCTGCAGGAGTTTATCCCTCTATCAGACGTCACTTCTCCACTTCTTCTCGTCTCTTCCTCCTCTTCGCTCTTCTCCCCACCTTAACGCCTCTCTCGCTCATTTTCTCTCTTATGTTTACTGTTGGTTTAGCTGTGTATATTGTGTCTCCGTGTGAAAGTCCTTTGTTTATTTGACACTTCAGAGAATGAGGCAATCACTCCGCTCAACTTGTGACCTCAAAGGCCTCATCCGTGTGTTTAAGGCTCAAAGGATAAACACAACTCAATTTAGGAATTCCTATACTGTGTTATTCTTGTAGTCTAAGGCCGGCCGATCAATATTTGAGAACATGGATTAGCAGAAAATCTCAAAACAGAGAAACTGGAGAAGCAAGAGTCAAACAGAGGATATAGTTAGTTATTAGGTGCAGTGTTTCCCCTAGGTTTACTGCTTTGGGGGGGTGCGTGATCTACCAAACAGATCACGCATTTTAGCCATTTGCTCTTTTCCAGCCCTGTTTTTGCAGGGGCTGATTCTGCTTTTGTGGCAGACTACAGCGCCACTTACAGGCCTGGCATATGTACTACAGCGTCTCCAGCGCTTTCGAGCGGTCTCTCATTCCCCTGATAGGTGGAGAGTTGCCCTTAAAGGCGGAGCACCCCTTTTCTGACGTCAGAAAAATTCAAATAATAATCAGCTCTGTTGCAGCCCCGTTTTTCGAGATTTGGGTATGGAGGAAAAGAGAGAGGGTTGTGTTTTCTGACACTTAGTGAGTTCCCTGACACACCGACGTACAAAAGAGCCTTTTGCATGATAGGTCCCCTTTAAAATGAAAGCATTTAGTTTATTTAATAGAAGAGCACATGTTCAATGTCAAAAGTGACAGGAGATATAGATTAGTTGCAATTTGGTGCTATATATATATATTTATCTATATAAAATATATATATATATTTTTTAAAACACCTTCAATTTCAGGTGGGCGTGGGGCTCCGTTGGCGGGGCTCCGTTGGCGGGGCTCCGTTGGCGGGACGCAGCGCCCGTCCAAGACAATGGTAGGGGAAACACTGAGGTCTGCAGCTGCTCCTCAGGCAGTGAATGGAAAAGTTAATGTTCTTCTTCTGTTGCTAGTATCAACCATTTCTTTTCAAATATGTTTTTTTATTCCAAAAATAATGATAATACAGTATGTGCACAATAAAAAAAAGTATACAGTATTTAATCAATTGGGGCAAAATATTAAATTAAAGGTGGGGTAGGTAAGTTTGAGAAACCGGCTTGAGATACACTTTTTGTTATATTCCATGGAATGCTCTCAACATCCAGATAGCATTGAATTGCTGTGTATTTTCAAATTCTAGCACACTCGAGCTGGTTTCTCCAAAATTACCTACCCTACCTTTAATTCTGTTAATGCATGTAGCTCTAATTTGTTGCAGTGGGAAGCTACTGTACAGTTCCTTGGAGCTTTTCTTTTGGTCCGGTGCCTTTCTCAGGTTCACCTCAGCAGTGCCGAGGCAGCAAACGGGCGCCTCTTTAATAATAATAATAATGCAAACTCAAATTTGTATTGGAGTTTGTATATTGGACCAGTTATTGCTTTTGTGTCAGTTATTTTAAGTTTAGACATAGGTAGCTACTGGACAACAGGGAACAATGGGGGGGATTGGGGAGAGGAGCCATCTGGAGGGGATGTAAATGCTAAGTAGGACATCATAATAATATATCATAACCTAGATCGTAGGCACAAGCTAGCAATGTGGGCGCAGCAGGCGGAGTTTGACACCACACCACACCACATGATGCAAAAGGTCGTCCTTTTAATGATATCAACATTAATGAGCATTATTCCAATGTTAGATTGACCAACGTTGGCTTCATGATCAGGCATATGGCATGCAGCCTGACATCACTCGGCCCTTTCTCTCTTCCTTAGTCTGATCTCACCGTGTGTGGTGTCAAGTGGCACACATGTTTACAGTTTCTAATCAGTTGTTTGGTTTAGGTAAAGATTGCTGAGAGTCCATGAGACACTAATACCTGAGCCCAGCTCTCTTTGAACTGACACAGCGGTGCAGCAGTCTCAGCCGGGAGCCTCACACTGAGAGCTGCAGGCCTCCATGGAAAGGAAGAATGACAAAATAGAAAAGTGTGAAGCAACACTAATATAACCCTGCTTTCACAACAAACGTGCAACGGCAACAGAGCAAAGCCATTATATAACTGCGGTAGTGGCTACACACTCCTGAGCAGCTGCACAAGCCAGAGAGCAGAATGGTTCTCACTGTCCTGATTTTATACCGGATTTTGTGGCCAACCTTTATCTTAAGTGAACTTTAACTCCATGTGCTGACCTCCAGGATGCGTGCTCTGGCATTGACATGAGGTGTTGGACGGATCTCAGATCAGAATGAGTGGTGGATTGAACTTCATGCAGTAGACTAAAGTTTGCACACAATTTACCTCAAACTTACTGTTTCGGTTTTCCTGA